GCCCTGTGTAGATGAGCCCCTCACCCCTAACCCAAAAGGGATCCTTGAGACGCCAGAGTGTCTTTGGTTCTTTACCATCAAGGTAAAAACTCCATTTCCCCTCACCTGAATGTTCCCAGAGTTGACTCTCCTCTGGGCCTTTGCTCATGCTGTTCCCTGTGCCAGGAACACCTTTCCCTGTCAATACATCTTTCTTAGCTTTCTCTCTGGTCCTAGCATAGACTCAGATCATAAGCCCCGCTCCTACTGACTGAATGTCCACTAGGTGCCCACTCTTGTACCAAGATACCTGTCCATTTTGATCCTCACTCTCTCTTCCCTTCCCCTGCCCCCCCCCCACCAAATGGGAGGTGTCACTGGTCTTCTGGTTCCACAGCTGGCCACACTGAGGCTGAAATGAAGACACCACCCAAAGGCCATGCAGTAAACAAACTACGGAGGTGTCAGATAGGTCTCAACCCCAAGTTCTCGTATGATGGTGAGCAGGTAGCTCTCCTGCCTCCCTGCCTGTAGTGTGAGGGGCCCCTCTGATGATCACTGTCTAAGTGCCCACCACAGCCCTGAACCCAATGCCTTGTGACCTCCTGATGCCTCATTTACCCCCCACCCATGAGATTGGGATCTGGGGTGTGGATGGGGGGCCGATAAGAAAGATTTTGATCTGTTTTTTTCAATATTGTATAAACTGAACCCTGGCTTCAATTTAGGTTCACAGTTCAAACTCACCCATTGGTGCAGCAGAAGAAAGCTCTGGTGATCTGTGGCTATAAAGATCACAGTCAAGGGAAATTCCATAGGGCATTTCTGTGTGTCACATATGGATTCGTCATGAGTCGAAACTGACTTGGGTTCGAGCAGGGCTTGGGATACAGCATGTGCTTAATAAATGCTGGCCAAATCGGGGGATGGATTAATGCCTTGTCCACTCCATTATGACCCGCCAAAGGGATGCTTGTTCACGACTAATTGTTTACTGAGCCTGAATAGGGGCAGGAATCACATCACATCACCTGTGTAATCTCGCGAGACTGCTAAATCAAGGAAAAAAGAGGCAGCAGGGGAAACTAAGGCACAGAGAGGGGCGTGTCTGGCTCAAAGTCACACAGCCTCCAGTCCCACGCCCTCGTCCCTCCTTGGAAAGTCAGAGCAGCCAGCCCGGTGGCCAGGCTCCTCCCTCGGTTCCCCGCCAGGCCGCCTCCCTCGGGCTGGCACGTCAGACTCTCACGCTTCAGAGCTCAGCGTGCTCCGGCTCTCCTCCGCGCCCCCTCCTCCCCCCCGGAGCCGAGCCGGCAGCTGTCGCTCCCATGGAAACCGCAGCGCCCCCCTCCCCGCCTGCCGCGCCCCCCCCCACCTGCATCGTCCCCCCGGCGCAACCTCCGCTTTAAGACAAATATTGTCATTAACATGCAAATGCATATGCGATTATCATAAATGGGGGGCCCGCGAGGCGGCAGCAGCGTATGCAAGCCATCGAGGCGCTGTCCCCGCGAACGGTGGACATTAATATGCACCCCGCGAGGGAGAGAGGGGTAGCTGGGGTCGGGCTGGTCACCGTGGCCTCCATACGTGCCCAGTCCCAGTGCAGAGAGGGCTCTGAGGATATGCGCTGACAGGGGCTGGACAAGGGTTGAGCCCCCTAACTACCTGCTCCCCAATCGCTGACTAAACCCTGGGGACCAGGGAACCCCTCTCTGGATTAGGCAGTGATCTGCTCCCCAACTCGCCCTATCTTTCTCATCTCTCTTTTTCTTGCTGTGGGGGGGAAGGGGCCTAGACTCTGTGTCTCTCCCTGCCCACATGTCTCTGTGTGTCTCTCTGTCTCTCTCCCTTTTCGGCTGTCTCTCCTGGCATCTCTTTATCACTGTCCCCGTGAGACTGCCTCCAATCTCTGTTCTTCAGTCTCTGTTCCCCTCTGTTTCTCTTAAAAACAAACCCAGTCAGTGAAGGGTTGCCCAACTCCAAGAAGCCCCTCATTCTTGCCCTCTCTCCAGTCCAACACTCTCCCCAATTCTGGCCAATTCTCAACTCCCAAGGCACCACGCTCAGGCCCCACCTTCTCAAGTCCTCAGTATCAGTCCCAGTGCACAGACTTTTAGGATCTGGGGTGGCCCACCCACCCGTAGCCATGGTTGTTACCTGTCATATCCCCTCCCCCCAATGCCATCTTTGGGGGTCCCTTTTAGCTTGGGTGCACCTGTCATCCCTCTGGCCTGAGAAGGAGGGGAACCTAGCTGTGGTTGATCTTGGGACATAATATTTGCCCCTCTGGGCATCAACTTGTCTTCCATATGAAATGGGTTGAACCTTACAAGCTCACCTCAGCGGGGCTCCCGCTTCACTAGGAGATCAAATGAGCTCTGGAAGGTAAGAGTGTGCTGAGGGGGATATAGGCTTAGGGATAGGTAGAGATGATGATGATGATGATGAGAGTGTTAGAGAGCCCTTCCCACCCAGGTTAGTGACTTAGAGTTCCCCTGGTTAGTGGCTCTACCCCAACTCTTCTCTACCCGCCCCCCTTCATCCTCTCCTTGTGCCCCAAGAGACTCAGGTGTGGAAGTGGAGCTTCCTGCCTTTCTCAATTCCCCAAGGGTCCATCGTCCTTCATCTTTGCCTTTCTGACCCAACCCTAACTGTGGGTACCCTGTTGGCCCCCCAGAAACAAATAAGTAATGGCTGCAGGTGTCTGGACTCCCCTCTCCCAAGATCCCCCATTTTCCAGTTCATCACTCACACCTCTTTGACTAGGGTCCAGAGGGGGGCAGCCACTCGCTGGACACCACACAGCAGAGCCCTCAAACCAGACTTCCCTCACACTTGCTGAATCTGGCAACAGGGCCTCTCAACTCTCTCTCTCCATAGGAAAAGGGCCAAGTCAAGCCCAGTCAAACCCAGAAGGGTGGGGACCAGGAAGGAGACCTGTTCTTGACACCAGGGTGCTGGGGGACTGATGGGCAGGGCCTTGATTGTCCACTTAATGATATCCCCTCCCTGGTGACCCTAGCTCGGGGCTGAGATTGACCCAGGACTCATTCGAACTGAAGGGTGAAGACCAGACAGCCCATCCACCTGACCATCTAATTCCAAACTCTAGTAGCATAGTGGTTATGAATAAGGTCAGCAGTTCGAAACTACCAGCTGTTCCGCAGGAGAAAGATGAGGCTCTCTGCTCCCATAAAGATTTACAGCCTCGGAAACCCTGTACAGGGTCGCTAGGAGTGGGTTCCGACTCCACGGCACATAACCACCACCAAGAAGATGAGAGATGGGAAAAGATGCCTCAGCTCCAACTGGAAAAATTAATGTTACACTCATCCGGCTGACTTCAGTGACAGCAGAGAAACTGAGGCTCGAGCGCTTCCTTCACCCCTCGCTTCGGAGATTTTGAAATAAGAAGAGAACGACTGACCATGTGGGCACCCCACTTTCCCTGAACCTCATATTTCCCCCTGAACCCAGAGCTCACCAACAGTTTTTCCATTCAACATCTGGGGGCCACGTGGGCACTCCCCAACCCCCATCGGAATCTTTCTAGAAAGGGAGAGGGTGTGAGGTGTGTGGGGTAAGCTCTTATCAGTCTGGGACCCCAGAACTTGATCCCTAGCCTTTGTGCTCCCCTCTGCTCTCATAGGCCACAGAAGGACTTAGATTCTCCAGGCCCCATCTTTATTTATTTATTTATTTGTGATAAGGTGGGGGATGGGGAAGGGTTTCTTTCCTCCTACCCCTCCAAAGTCCCAGTTGGAGGGTCTGACTGAAGTGACAGGCCTGAGCTCCATCCCACCAGACTCTTCCTATGGCCTGCCCTGACCGATCATTCATTTATTCATTCATTCCTTCACTTTTCATTCACTCACTCATTCATCAAACATGATTCCCTGCTTCATGTGTGTACAATGCTAAGAAGAAAGATGACGACCGATTAGGACTGAAACAGGGTCCTGGACCCTTTCGAAGACCACAAAGCTCCACACAGCAAACTGTCAAAACCAGCCCAAATTCACAGACACCCCCTCAAGGTGGCCATCCCAGTGAGAAGCAGGTGGGAGGGAGGGAGGCAGGCAGGGCCTCCCCAGCCCACCTGCCTGCTCTGATGAGCTTCAGGTCGCCCACGCCTCCATCCTCCTCCCTGGCCATCCCAAGATTGGGGCTTTGCCCAGTTGGATGGACCAGGTTCTCATTGTCTTTGGCCCCAGACCCCAACACACTGCTTCCAGGCTCCTCGGTGACCAGTTTTAACTTGAGCCAAAGGTGAAGGCCCAGAAGGGGCAGCAGGGCAGAGCAAGGGGGGAGGGGGAGGTTCTGTCCAAACAGCCATGGTGGGCTAGGGGGTGGGCAGAGGGGAGCATCTTAACCACCCGAACCTGGTGCTCCCCACCCCCTCCAGCTCCCTGTGCCCCCACCCCTTCTTTCTTTGTAGTTACCGATCAGCCCTGGGTCCTGGGCATCCGCGTCCCTGCCCCGCTGGCCTGGCTTTGTAAAAATGACCAAGGCAATGGAGTGCAAGGGACAAACTTCGACGTCGACAGGGTGGGGGGTGGGGGGGTTGGGGAGGCCGAGTGAATGGGGAGGAGGGAAGGGGTGTAGGGGTTCCCAGCAGCCCCCCCAGCAAAGGAAAGAGTGGGTGGGGGAGGGAGGATGGGGTGGGGGTCTGGGGGGAATGGGAGACACAGGAAGAGGGAAAGAGAAGATGCTTGGTTGGGGGGGGAGGTTGGGAGGTAGAGGGAGATGGGAGAGGAGAGAAAAGGAAAGAGAGAAGATGCCTGAAGGTGGGGAGGGAGGGAGTGGGGGCGGAGGAGGGGAGGGGGCCAGCTCCGATCTGTCAACTGCACCCCCAGAGGGGGGAGGAGGGGGTGGATGAGGAGGGGGGGTGATGCTGTGGCAGAGGCAAGCGGAGGGAGGAGGTGAGGAGGGGAGGGTGGGGAGCGAATGTGCCGGAAGGTGGGGTGGGGAGGCCGAGGGAGGGAAGGGAGGGGAGGATGGAGGGGAGCTGGGGCTCCCACCTTTGTGCATGCCCGTGTAGGGATCTTTGAGCACCGTCAGCTCGTAGATGCGGCCAAACTGCTCGAAAAGCGGCTTGAGGTCCTTCTCGTCCAGGTTGCGCGGGATCTGGCCCACGAAGAGCTTGATGGCGTCCAGGTCCTTCATGCCGTCGGGCTGGCCCCCGGGGGGCTCCGGCCCGCTGCTGCCCACAGGCGAGGGCCGCGGCTGCAGGAGCTGTTGCTGCTGCCGGCGCGCCTCGCTCTCCGTCAGGCGGGCCATGGCG